TCAGAGAGGTTAAGTAATTTGTACAAAGTCAAAACAGCTAGTAAATAGCAGAACCAATATTTGAAATCCAGTATGACTCCAATACAATATGACACATTATATGCAGAGGAATGATGATACATATAACTGTGGACTTCTCATCAGAAATACTAGAGGCTAAAGGAAAATGGTAAATCATCTTTATAGTGCTGAATGAAAACAAAATAAAAACACCACCATGTCAACCCAGAATCCTATATTCAGTGAAACTCTCCTTTAAGAGTAAAGGAGAAATAGAGACATTTCATAAACAAAAACTAAGAGAATTCAGCACTTGAAGACTTCACTACAAGAAATCTAAAGGAATTTTATAGACTACAGGGAAATGACACCATCTGGAAACACAAATCTTCAGAAAGGAATGACCAGCATCAGAAATGGCAAATAGGTTGGTAAATGAAAAACACTATTTCCCCACTAAGCATCTCTAAAAGTACATATTTCATTTATATTTAAGAAAATAATATTTTGTTTATGTTAAAGCAAATATTATAACTTTGTAACATGCAGTTTATAATATATGTAGATGTAATACATAAAACAGTTATAATATAAAAGACAAAGTATTGCTAAATGGTCCTATATGGTTGGCAAGTTTCTTACACTTGTGTTAAGTATTTACATAAAATATTTATTTTGTGGCACTTTAGAAAAAGTTTGCTGACCCTTGACCTACAGTGATCACTTAAAATAATAATGAGAAGAACTATAGATAAAACCAATAGATTAAAACAGAATTTTCAAAATTATTCAATGCCAACAGAATAGACTGAACAATGAAAGGACACAAAGTAAAACAAATCATAAATGGTAGACCTAAATCAAATCATATAAACAATTACATTAAATGGAAATGGAACAAATACTCTAATCAAAAGGAAGAAATTGTCAGAACGAATACAAAGCAAGATCCAACTATGAGATATTCACTTTAAACACCAAGACATGGATAGGCTGAAAGTAAATTAATGGAAAAGATACGCCATGTAAACAGTAAGCATAAGAAGGCCGGAGGAACTATTTTTAATATCAGATAAATTAGATTTCAAATTAATATCAGAAAAGGTAGATTTCAGAATTAAAGGGAGAAATAGAGAAATACAAAATCACAGTTGGAGATTGTTTTTATACCCTATCTCATTAATTGATAGAATATCTAGATAAAAAATCACTAGTATATGAACTGTTACAGTTTTTATATGATTTAGAAAGCCATGACCCAGGCTTTATTACCTTAAATGGATTGTGGCCTTTCTTCCTGATTTTCTCTTTGAGTCAGATCAGGCAAGTACTGTACAGGAAATGATGTTGGTTCACAGACAAAAATATATTTTTACTAGTTATCTGGGTTACCAGAGTATGATATGTGTTGCCAGTTTTCGTTTAATACCTGGCTTTAGAAATATGGCAATTCATAGATGGAGAGGGTCTTAGAGATTTTATCAGTCTCTTTACTTTTATCAATGAGAAAAACATGATCCAGAGAGCTAACCAATTTTAACAAGTTTATACAGTTTTTAGGATCATGCATTAGAACAAAGGTCAACTCGACCTCCAATATGTCTATTGTAGAGTATTGCCTGCTTGTTGACAGTGCATAAATGACTGGAGACACTAAGATTACTCTGAAGGATCAAATGAATCTTTGGGGCTTGTCTGACTTTTTTCAGTTGTTTGTTCTTAGCTTCTCCAAGATCTCAATCCAATCAAGAAGGAGACAATGTAGGCATAAACTTCAACTAATACAAACTCACGATTTAACATACAACCCATTTCATGCACTAACGTAGTGTAACTCTTCCAGCAGTCCATGAGACTTGCTTGCCATAAGCTAAGGTTACAAAATGATTCTAGTATCTTTTATTGAGGAAGTCAAACACACATCAAATGTCACACTTTTCCAAGCATACCTGCTGGGATGAAAATGAAGATAAAATTCTAAGAAAGGTCAAAAAGCAGTAAGTATTTCTATTTCTCTGGGACTCATTTTTTTTTTTAAATGAGAGAAATGAATTTGATGAACTCCAAATTTCTCCACTCATTGCAACATATTAGCTTTCCATGCAGTATAGCAAAGTGATCGGAATCTATAGAAACATGATTTACACTGATATAATAAAACCCAGAGGATGAATATTAATACTCAAGGAATATTCTTTGGGAATAACTTTAATTAATAATACAATGCCACACACAAGTTCTTTCCCTGGACAGAGTCATTTTTTCTCTTTTAGGTCTCTGATATTTTAGGCTTGACCACAGTCAACTATAATGCTATTGTGGAAAACAACTGGCAGGGGGCAGCAGATTTCAAAGAGGATCAAGCAGATGCAGTGACATTAGTGACAATTACTGTAGCAGCTAGAACATTTTCATCCTAACCTTTTCTGACTCCTCAGCTGCGATCTATTTATATTATCATCTAATGTTATAACTTATACACACACGTATATGACAAATAAAAAGGTCATCATTAAAAATTATGATTCTGAATGAAATTAAAAATACTCATACATTTAAGCTTATGGGCTCTTATGTATGTAATATCTTATGTGTATATATATGTATGCATGTATGTGTTTATCTTTCTTTTATTTAACATTTTTCCCCCTTAGTGATGATAACCACAGAACTTGTTGCCTCTCAGGGAAAAAAAAGTGCCTAATTCTGGTAAGATTCTTCACAGTAGGAAAATATCCAGCATTATAAAATATTAAAAACTCTTAGAGCAGTGCCATGGGAAAGCACGATGAAACACACAGCTCCACACTCCAAAGGTCTAAAAAGCAAAGTTGAGTTAAAAAGAAACTAGGCAAGAGGCCTCAAAAGAGGTTTTTCTTGCATAAGCTTTATTAACGTCCCATTATATTTATATATCACACCATTTTATTTTGAAATGGGTTTTACAGAAAAACTAATTTGTCATAACTAGAGTGGAATAAGAGTAACAGTTACCACCACCAGTTTATAGATAGGTATAAACAAGGCCCAGAATGGGTAAGCAACTTGCCCAAATAAAACAATGACTAATGATTAAAGGAGGAAAAGAACTTGTATTCTCTTAGTCTAACATACTGAATACTAAATAATAGTTGTATGAGAGAATAAAGCAGATAAAGGTAGTCATTTCATAATGCATACATATATCAAAATATCATATCGTGCACTGCAAATATATATAATTTTCACTTGTTCAAAAACCTCCCCAAACATTAAGTACACCCCCTCAACCCCCACCAAAAAAAGCAGATAAAAATTGTTCATCGCCTGATTATTTTTTTATTACTTACTGGTTTTCCTTGCACTCCTCTCTCTCCATGGTTTCCAGTCTTACCCTACACAAGAAATAAAATGCTTGGGTCAAGTAACCTTCTCCCAAAATATTAATCACACACCAAGAAAAACACAGAAGATTTAAAATGTTCATCATCTTTAATGTGAAATGTTTTATTACTTACAATAAGACCATGAGGCCCTCTTTTTCCTTGATCTCCTTTTTCACCCTAACAAAGTATCAAGACCAGGTGAGTTAATAAGAATGTGAATTATGATCTTACATATGTAGCATATACTCACATACAAAAAATAAAACATTAACTACATAGTGCGATATTGAAAAGAAAACATTTCAGTGTATGTAGTAAAAACTTTATATATATTTCGTACTTAGACTAAAAGAAAATTTAGAACCATACTTTTGTAAGGAAATACATAATTTTTTAGACCAGTAGGACATATGGCTCAATAAAATTTAACTGCATATGAAATGAGAAAAATCAGTGATTACCTTGGCACCCTGTATACCTTGTTCCCCTGAGAGACCATCTGGTCCTCTTGATCCCTAGAGATGGAAAAAATATTTGGCTGGTAATTTGAAATGTTCCTTTTTTACTTACTGTTGGGTGTCTTTACAGATGAAGACACTGTGACTTCTTTACTTGACAAACTCATTCTGCTTGTTTTTAATGCCCTGACCACAGAAAAGAAAACAGTTGGGTATTTGGCTGAACCTATTTACATGGGAGAATCAAGCCTTTGTTTTTAAAATTTAATGCTAAATAGTAAATCAAATGAGCACCAACATAGCTGATTCAGTTGTTAAGGTGGTTATAATATAGGTGTGATATGTGGGTATTTTGTTCACTTTATCATTTGTTCAGCAGCCAGCCAGGATATATTCTCAAAATAATGCTACATTAACTTAAAAGTGGCTGGTTTGTTTGCCTAACATATTTTTGGAATGGTGCTCTTCTCTTCACATTATAGAAAATGAGTGCTGCTTGTATTGTACCTACTACGCACCTGCTTGACAATCGTTACTGGGCGATGGTGGGGCACAGCAAAGGTACAAAACATGCTATTGAAAATATTCATGTAAATTTAAAACTTCTCAATATTTGTTCAATAATTAGTTCCAAAAAAGGATTAGTTGAAAAGTCACTCTCTAATAAAACAACAGAATAGTCTCCTTGCCCATATTATAACTTTTCTTGGAAGATCTTAAAGTCTTTTTTAAGGGACTTAATTTAATTCTACAGCCTCTAACTGAACATCTGTGCAAAAGAAAATGCATTAAGTGTTATGGGAATGCAAAATCATGAGAAAGTTTCTCCCTTATGAGGCTGATAGAATGAAACGGTAAATTATACAAAGTACTATAGCACAGGGAAGGATAAGGCATGTCAAGGGCCAGAAGAAGGATTCACAGAGGAAGACAGCCTTCACATGTTTGTAATGGGAACGAAGACACCATTTTGGCAGTTGGAGGTCAAGCTCTGACAGACTTATTCAAAACAGAAGGAATTCTACCTTGAGAGACAGTATGAAGAAAGGGGACAGAGGCCTGAAAAGAGATACTCACAGAATGAAAAAGCAGCTTGTTTGCCCAGGCTATTGATCACATGCAGAGAAATATTATCTTAATATTTCCACACTTAATGAGTATACAAAGGAAGACTGAGACTTAAAAGGTAAAGGATTGGAGTTTATATTTAAATCAGTTGGCAGAAATCTTCTGTTGAAGATTTCCATGCAAAACAGGGATACAAATCTCCCAGTACAACATGCTGATCTGAAGGAGCTCCGTAGGCTCCAGTACTTTCTCTTGTATTCCCTCTGACATAAGCTTTGGTTTAGATTTATATTATTAAAAGCTGCTTATTATAATAGGACTCTCTTCCAGGGTACTCTTAGGTTAACTACATTCCTTGATCCTCTTTGGCACTTTCATGGATTTGGAGAGAACACTCATACTCTGTGAGAATCTATAGCTCCACTGATACTATGAAAGTTATAGCCATTGCTCCAGCCCTATAATTTCTGTCTATTTTTAAAGTATTCCGTAATCTGTCCCCAATTTCCTTTTCTGCCCTATTTTCCAATAAAAGATTGGAAAACTAAATTACAATCTTATTGTGCAAGAACTTGAAGATCAAATTGAGGAGTATGGACTCAATTTAATAGATGAATAATTTTCACAGTGTGTTATTCCTTCAACAAATGTTTACTGAGTATCTGCTATAAGCCAGGCATTATTTTAGGCCCAGAGGACATGGTAGGGAGAAGAGACAAATCCCTGAATTAATAAACAAGCAAATAAATATGTCAAATTAAAATATAAAATGCAAATAAGTAGTTAAGTATAATGAAAAAAAATAAAGGAGATTATCCAAAGTGAGAAGCACTATTTTAGATAGGGTGGTCTAAAAAGTCTCTCTAAAGTGACATATGGGTAGACACCAGGAAGAGGTAAGATCAGGCCATGCAAATATCTTGGGGAAGATCACTGTGGCAGAAGAAATAGCAAGCACAAAGGTCTTGAGGTGGGGGCATGCTTGGAATGTTTAACAATTGAGTAACTGAAGATGAAAAAGAATAATGATCAAAGGATGACTGAATTTTTAAGTGTGAAGGTCCCTCAGGACTTTGCTCTACTTATTATCCTCATCTTAAAATTTCAGCAGCTTGTATTGATTCCTTTTCTCTGGCACCTTTAATGCCTAATTTTTCTCTTTCTGTCCTGTAAGAAACATTGCTAAGTTGTTTGGAATAACAGAAGAAGAAGGCTGAGACAGTGGGAAAAGGAATGAGTGCTCAACATCGTAAGATACTATACAACACAAGTAAGATCTAAACTGAAAATGTATCCACTGATAATTAGGCACTTAAAACCCCTTTGCAACCCGGAATTTCTGTCTTTCTGGATATTTTGTTGCTGGCTAACTGGTAGAATGATGACAGCATTAATAGAAAAACAAATTAGGAATGTAAATTTGGGATGAAGAGAGAAGAGTGGCAAAGATAATGAGTTCCACTCTAGACAATCAGACACGATGAAGCAGATATCTCCAAGGCTAGTAATAGAGAGTTAAAAGTCATTCTAAGTTTAGTTGGCAGCAGCCATAAGGATCAAACTTCAAAAGGCCCCCCAGACACAGAGCTATAAATTTAGAATTTTTTTAAAAAGACCGTTAGGCCCAAAGATGGCAAATAAATTTCATTTCTTGGAGAAAATCAGATTAAGTGACTGCCTAGATATATATGTAGAAAAGGATAAATCTAGCTGGAGGTAAGTCTCAAATTAACTGCCAGTTTCTTGTCCTGGCACATAAATCACCTATTACCATGGCTGAAATCGTCCAAATTCCACTTTTTAAGATGAAGAAACTGAAATCTGCAGATGTTAGGTGAGTTGCCTGACTCCCATGATGTCTAAATGTACAGAGAATGAATAATTGTGCTTTATTAAGTTTATAATATTTTTCAAATGTTAAAAAGAAAGTATAAAAATACTAGCAGAAACACAGGGAAAACACTTCAGGACATTGGTCTAGGCAAAGATTTTGTGACTAAGACCTCAAATGCACAGACAAAACCAAAATAGACAAATGGGATCATATTAAACTAAAAAGCTTCTACACCACAGAGGAAACAATCCACAGACTGAAGAGACAATCTATTGAATGAAAGAAAATATTTGAAAACTACTCATCTGACAAAGGACTAATATCCAGAATATACAGGAAATCAAACAACTCAATAATAAAAAAACAAATAATCCCATTAAAAACGGGCAAAAGGGCCGGGTGAGGTGGCTCACGCCTGTAATCCTCGCACTCTGGGAGGCCGAGGCGGGCGGATTGTTTGAGCTCAGGAGTTCGAGACCAGCCTGAGCAAGAGCAAGACCCCGTCTCTACTAAAAAAATAGAAAGAAATTATCTGGACAACTAAAAATATATATAAAAAATTAGCCGGGCATGGTGACGCATGCCTGTAGTCCCAGCTACTCGGAAGGCTGAGGCAGTAGGATTGCTTGAGCCCAGGAGTGTGAGGTTGCTGTGAGCTAGGCTAACGCCAAGGCACTCACTCTAACCAGGGCAACAGAGTGAGACTCTGTCTCAAAAAAAAAAAAAAAAAACGGGCAAAGGACATGAATAGACAATTCTTATAAGAAGATACACAAATGGCCAAAAGGTATATGAAAAAATGCTCAACATCACTATGTCAGGGAAATGCATATCAAACCACAATGAGATATCATCTTATTCCAGTTAGAATGGTTATCATTAAAAAGACAAAAAATAACAGATGCTGGTGAGGATGCAGACAAAAGGAAACTCTCACACACTGTTGGTGGGAATGTAAATCAGTGTGGCCACTATGGAAAACAGCATGGGGATTTTTCAAAAAACTAAAAATAGAACTACCATATCAGCCAGCAATCCCACTACTGAATATTTATCCAATGAAAATCAGTAGAACAAAGGATACCTGTACCCCCATTTATTGCAGCACTATTCATAATAGCAAAGATATGAATCAACCTTAGTGTCCATCAAAGAATGAATAAATAAAGAAAATGTCACACACACACACACACACACACACACACTAGAACCCTATATATCCATGAAAAAAATGAAATCATGTCATTTGCAACAACATGGATAGAACTGGAGGTCATTACATTAAGTAATGACCAGGCAAAGAAGACAAATATCTCATGTTTTCACTCATATGTGAGAGGTTAAAGAGTTGATCTCATAGAGATAGAGAGTAGAATGATAAATATCAGAGGCTGATAAGGGTGTGTGAGTGGGTGGGTGATGAAGAGAGTTCAGTTAATGGATACAAACATATAATTAGATGAAAGGAATATGTTCTGATGTTTGATAAAAGAGTAGAGTGACTATAGTTAAGAAGGATGTATTGTACATTTCAAAATAGCTAGAAGAGAGGACTTGAAATATTTCCAACACACAGAAATGATACATACTTGGGATGATGGATATACTAAATACCCTGACTTGATCATTACATATTTTATGCATGTAACAAAATATCACATGTACCCCACAAATACGCACAATATGTATCAATGAAAAGGTAAATCTAAGCATTGTTCTTTAAAAAAATACTTCCCACATTTATTATTTCATTTCCTCAGCCAGGATGACACAGGGAACAAAGAGAAGTTTCTCTGCCTACAGTGATGATAAATGTATTCAGTTTTTTTTTCAAAAAGGTCTAAGTAATGCCATTATATTAATTAAAGGTTGCTAGTTAAGAATTTAAGGCTGGAAGAACTCTGGGAAAGGTTGGTACTCTCTATGATTAAGGCAAGAGTAAGCTAATTAACTAAAAGCTTAGCTTTATCAACATTTGTATGTTTCACTGAAATTGGTTGTAGAAGTTATCCTAAGGGTTAGTGTATATGCCTGCTTTGAGTCCTAAGACAAAATAAGCTTTAGGATAAGCTCTAAGAAAGTTAGACAATAGCATTATAATAGGCATCTAATTTGGCATAAAGTTGTTTTTTTAAATAACTGCTTTAAAATAGCTCATGGGTATTCTCTTGGAGAAAGTATCCTGGATAAAAAGAACATCTAGTATTTTCTTTATCCTCTTAGGAAAGTTAAAGTTGGTTGCACTGAGCTATTAGAAGGTCTCAAAGCTAGAATAAAAATCTGATAGCTCAGGTATATAAATTAAGCATGTTTTGTAAAGTAAACACTACTTGAATTGTAGGCAGTGATTTAAAAGAGTTAACCAAATTCGTGAATTATCAATTTAATCCTAAATGTATTAGATGGTAGGAGACAGAACCACTATTTCATGTAAATACTAAAATTAAAAGAAAAAAATACGATTAACTAAGATATTAAGATAAACAGCACACTCATTTATTTAGCAGGACTTTTATGAGAACTCCAAGTCCATTTCTATGACCCCTGTAATTAATTTTTATAGGCTAAATATCTATGAATGAAGGAAACAGCCTTATTCACAGAACAAATGTCTTTGTAACTTGGACTCACTATATTTATATTTTTCTTCCAACCATATCTATCTGTCTTTGCTTGAAGCCTCTATTAATTTTAAATCACTCACATGTCTAACCAATTATTAATATGTCTAGAAGTCTCTTCTCGCTCTTGACTTACACAGCTGGAACAAAATGTTCCATTAAACAAAAACTAACATTATCAGTGATTTGAGAGAAAATATCTTTTTGATTCTTTTCTTGTTATAAACTTTATTTCAGAGGAAGAAACCACAGAGGAAGCTTTGTCTTATCACTTGGAGTGCTTTGGGTATTACTAGCATTGAATCTGAAGCCAGATACTGATGACTGCCTTCCCCTATATGGTATGCATTTCCTTGAAGGAGCCAAATTTCAGAACTTATAGTCAGATCTATTTTACTTCTTCCACAGAGAATCTTAAAATGTTACATATTACCAATATAGTTATTTTAATCCTTCCTTCCCATTTAAATCTTGAACAGCATAGTCAGAATAGTTACTCAGTTGTATGCCTCTACACCACCTCTCTAGAGAAAAAGTGCAAAACTTAAAGGTGTCTCCTGATCAAAGACCCAATTCGAGAGCAAGAAAGAAGATGAGGTTAACTTTGCTTTGTGTGTCATACCTCCTGGATTGGGATCACAGCCCTACTGGGGAGGATGGATTGAAGAGAGAAGAGGATAGAAACAGGAAGATACCAGAGGGCTACCACAATGGAAGTTCCTGATACTATATTCTTTCTTAAATATTCTGGTCTTCAGTTCTTTTTTTGTACTCCCAATGCCCATTGGTTGCCTGAAATATTCACCTGGTAAAGCAAGCTCTTTTTTCCCCCCTAAACAAAGCCCTTACTTCCAAACAAAGCTTCCTTATTTAGAAACTATTGGGTAAAATTTGTAAAATTATGAGCAGCAATTTTGGGAAAGAATCAGTAAAATGTATTTGGAGGATGAGAGGAAAAGTGATCCTTGGGGAAGTAGGAGTTGAGGACAAAGTGACACATCAGGAAAGAGTAATAGTCTACACAGGGATCACGGTCAGGTTAGACAACTGCAGAACAAATGAACTTTCTGTATGATTTATGAGATAGTACAAGTAATTCAGGAAAAGACTGTGCTTAGATATATGGTTTCTGCCTGTGTCAGTAAGACCTAAATTACTTAATTAACAAAAGGCACAAATAAGTATTTCTTCCTTTTTTTCACCTGTCATAAAACTGGTTGAACTTTCCCCTATGACTAATACAAAGCTGAACAAACATATTAGACCTGACCAAATATTGAATGCTGGCAGGGTACAAACCACTAAATGACAGTTTGAGTATAGATCATCTGCTGTCATTTTTTATTATAAATCTTATTTTTAAAATTCATGTGGCCATCAGGGTTGAAACTGTAAATCTATAATCTAGGATAGAAAATACTTTTTCAGAAAAGAAATAATAATAAAGACAAATTTGTTCTCTGTCTTCAATCTTCACCTAAAACATGGGACATGAAATTAAAGTTTTATTTCAAACTGGGAATTTATAACACTCTTTTCCCATTTGCCAATTGGAAACCCGCAGTTTTTTTTTTTTTTAAAACCATTATTAGGTAGAGGACATGTTTTTAGAATTTTAAAGTATTTTCTTCACTAGCTCTATTTAAATCAAAGTAAGGCCAAGTCACAAAGCAGAATTCTGAAAGCCCACATATTCAAATTAATTAAAAATTACTCCTTTACACTCCATGTGGTATTAAGTAAGCACGGGCTTCGGAATCAGACACACTAAGGCTTGAATATTGGTTGTGCTATTTCTCTGTGTCTACAGCCTACACGTTGAAACTCTTTGAGCCCTGGTTTCCTCAACGATAATACCTGAGCTATAACACTTCTCCTTCCTGGAATGGTTTTGAGTACTAAGTGAGATAATGTATTTAAAAGTGCCTGGCATGTGACAGGCATGCAATAAATAGTGTTTCTTATTTCTTTAAAGAAAAAAGAGGATTTAATGTTTAAGAGACAACTTAATGAAGATATTTCTTTTAATTCTGTATGCATAATTATTAGAAAATTAGTAACCCTCTGATTTAAAATAAACCCTTATTCATCCTTTGTATCTTTGTTCCATTTCTTAGTGCTCTTATTTTGTCTTGATGTTACTTTTCCTTCTTATGTAAGTCTATTGTGAATAGAAAAATAATTTATTTAAAGATCTTCACATTTACAATCCCCCCAAAACGGAATTAGAGATTGGGAATAAGAAAAAATAATTCTGTATGAGTTAGTGATATATGTAAAAATTAAAATGGAAAACTATGATCTTATAAATATAAATGATTATGAGTCATATGTCAATTAATGTAGGTAGTTCATTCATCTAATGTAATGAAAACAAGGAAAAAACCTGACAATTTCTAAGCACAATTTTAGAAGGCATGATATTATTTTTGTTGAACATTTATCACTATTCTTGAAGTGATTTTTTTTTTTCAGGTTAATGTACTTCTTTCATTAGGTTACTTACTGTTTGTCCTTTAGGACCTTGACTCCCTGGTGGTCCTCTTGCCCCAGCATGACCCTATATGTCGCAAATTTAAAAATCAGTCATAGAATTCACAGGAATGTTATCTGAATAGTAGTCATACCCTTTCTTATAAGTAATTCCCCTTGGGAATTCTTAAAATTATATTGACTAGGTTTCTTAAAAAATATGTTTTAAATCACACCTCCCTCCCTTGATATTCTGCTTTTGAGATATTCCGTTAATTGGAGAAATGGTGTGAACACCCTGAACAAAGAATGGAAAGCTTTTAATATTTACTGACCAGGCAGTTTTGGGGTAGAACACATATGGAGTAAGGGAGGAAGGAGATACCCACTCAGCCCGTCAGACCAGTCTAATCTGCCTGGCTCATCAAAGAAGCAATGGCTATCTCTATGAAATTTCCTTACCATTATTCTAGACATTTCAATCCTATCACATAAAAATGGATTTTTTTTCTGTTACCATGAAAAATGCCACAAAATGTTTCAAATTAATATGCCAAAAAAATAGCCTGCAATGGAGGTTAAGATGGTATTTATTACTAAGTCAATTATAATGAATTATTTTTATACCTATAGTCTTCAATCAAGGCTCAATTGGAAAATAAAATTTATTTATGAACTGTAGGCAGATAAAAACAAAGTGATTTTAGGATCTCAAATTTATTTATTATTTTATGTAAGTAAAGAGATTGGCAATTATGCCCTGGACCAGCCTTCTTCATTTTGGAAGCCAACAACATGTCTATGAATATACTGGAAAATTTGTATTATTTTTAAAACAGAAGCTTTACGAAACTTAGTATAAAGCATTTCTGATATGAAAAGTGCTGCTCAGGATATCCTGAAGGCTGATGCATATCCCAAAGGTTATGTATCTTTTTCACATTTATGTTTACAATAACTGTCAAATTTTGATAAGCAATATTTAGGGGCAGGATTTCATTATCTTTCTGTAAACAACAAATGGAGCATTTTCAATACTCAATTTTTATTTAATAAAGTATATTTTCTACAAATTTTATCTGGTTGTATAAGAATATTTGCAAATTTCTAAGAAAAATATGTTGGAACTTATAATTTCTTTATTAAATTGGTCTCACTTCTAATCTTGATTACCAACCCTATTTTCTTTATTTTTATTTCAGAGTATTATGGGGGTACAAATGCTTTGGTTACACAACCCTATTTTCTTATATGTGGTTATTCAAAAGAAAGTTTAAATGTTGTTCAGTTTAGGTTGCAGAACTGACACTGGTTAATATACCAAGTAGAGGTGAGAAAGTTCAAGATACCACGACCATATTCCAGAGTGTTTTGTACAGTTTGGGAGAGAATTAGTCTTTACTAGTTTATACATGATATCTGCATGAAAACAAAAAAATTTTGTTTTCGTTCAGCAAATTTTTGTTCAACAAAATTGATGGACTTAAATTAAAATAGATATTCTACAAGAGATCATAAAATTGTTCCTGTACTTACAGGTAATCCCAATGGACCCATGGGTCCTGGAATCCCAGGAGGACCTGGATATCCCTATGGTTTGAATGAAATATGAAAGATATGAAAATATCAATTGCATTTAATTATTTTCATTGAAGAGAAACCAGTAAATTATAAATAGTAATGAAAAGGGATAATTTGACAATCTCTCCCTTTCCTGTGCAAGATATGAAAGGTCGCAGGAACTGTTCTGCTGATAGAACATAGAAATAAAAAAACACGACTGTATAGAAGCTGTATAATCTATTTATTAGACGTGAAAATTGCTAGCTAGAATCACCTACTGCAGCTTATTGAGAAGAGAATATTCATTTCATCTTTCTGTAGGTTATGTTATCTTATGCATGAATGTATGCTATGTTATATAAATTATGAGACTATATAATTTTCAGAGAGATCAGGGAATTCTATAATGAAGGAATATGAATGTGTACAAATACTTTAGCATGTCAAATTTTAGAGGGACCACAAACTGTATTATATTAATATTGATTCAGAAAATGCCTTAGGAAGTAATGATTCCTAAAATTGATTAGTCTTATGGGTATGTTAAATTTCCTAGTTGACAGCAACTGGAGATAGCTAAAAACAACTTATAGAGATTTTCTGAAAATATAGAAGTTAAAACTAAAGAATAACTTAGGTGAAATGAATTTGTAGATAGTATTATAGGCCATCATATCTATCACAATGTATTTTCTGAAAGAAAGCTTATCTTATTGGTAATAATTATTTATTCTAGCTCCTATCACACTTAGAAATGATTTAATAAACTAAAAAAATGCAACCCAGATATAAAGTTTGTCATCTATTCCTATCTTAAAGATATAAGAGAGTGAAATGAATTCTGAGTTCTGACCTCTTTATGGCAAAAAATTACATCTGACCACAAACTCATGGAAAACTGGCAATGATGATCTGTGCCATATAAACTATAGTTTGTAGAAGAATAAGTAGAATTCTAATTAGTTTTTCTTCTGCATCTGTTTTAGCTAATTTATGGTATTTTAATTCTTTTCCTAAAACTATAGAATCATTTAACTAAGCCATCACATTTCCAAGTGGCTTAGTACTATATAGCATTCCAGGAGTTAAACCACTTAGAAAATTCTAATAGAAATTTCTTATAAAATAGCATTTTTCACTTACTTAAATTCTAGTCAAGGCAATTTCACCTCTGGAATACCTTAACTTTATTACGGTCTTCGGAAACATATTTTTAAAATCACTGAGATCTTACCATAATGCCCTTTTCCCCTTGGGGACCTAGTGGGCCTGGACCTCCACGTTCTCCCTTTTAAAACAACAAAGAGAAAAGAGGACCATTGATGCATGTTAATTAGTTATAACTGGGCTAAGCTTAGAATGGAAAACTGTCAGAATCATACCTTACATTCATATTTCATCTTAATTTCCAATCATTTTTAAATTTCTGAATTTTGCATTTTTACCCCAAAATTGCTAGACTTGTAGTACAAGAAACATTCTCTTAAGATGTTTTTCAAGGGAAAAATACTAAAAGTCTTGTTATTATAAAATATAAATTATGGATAAACACAACTTAAAATTGAGCATGTATCATATGCTAAAATTTTGTTAGTAGAAATACAATTTTATGAGACATAAAATATGAGAATAGTGAAAGTATTAAAGCATATTCAAAAACTAAGTAGTCTGTACAACCATTGGAAGACATTTATTTCTACAGTCTGTCTAGTCCAATTAAGTGCCCCCAAAATAATTCTGAGAGATCAAGATAATCAAGTCTTCCATAGCAGATTAAAAAGACTAAACTGATTCACATGAAAATTCAGGATTGTCAAAATCTTAGTGTAGAAGATTTAAGCCAGCATAGAAATAACTAAATCAGAATGAAAAAAATTATAAACCTATCTAGATTTTTTGAACTGAATTCATACGTTTTGTTACATTGTTAATAAAAAATCAATAAGTATATACTAAACACTTCGAATGTACTAAGTGGGAGTTAGGAGAGTTATAAAAAAACTTAACTTAGATTCTACCCTAAAGTAACTGTAGATATAATATTAACAGAGATGAAACAATTGGAGGACCATTAAGTTTTGAGCAGTGCGGTACTTGTGCTAAGTCTAGGAAGGGAAGAAATAGGAGGGATTAGAGGAGTCTGGGGAGACTGTGCAGACGGTATGGGAATTCAGCTGAGTCCAACGATTTGGTTTTGAATAAATAGATGGAAGGGGGACAGAATAATCTAGACCAAGAAAAGAGCAAGAATGGGAATAGGAACAAGTATATAATACATGAGACATGAGAGAGAGAGAAAGGTAAAACGATACTTATTCTTCTCTTATAAATCTGCTTCCTATAGGGGGTTTGCTCTTATAAAGTAGATTTAAATAATATTTTCTAGTCATAAACCTAGACTGTTTCTTCTCTTTATAGCCAAAACAGTACTATGCCCTTTAAAAATTAGAAACATACATGCTATTAGCTATATTTCCATATACTTAAAAGATTCAATATACATAATGTGCTAAAGTTATGAGTGATTTCTAATCAACATAAAACACCATGTGAAAGTCTCTCCTTTGAATTTAGCCTAGAATTATTACTGTAAAACGAAATAATGTAAGAAATTACCTTTTCACCAATGCTTCCAGTTATTCCAACTTCTCCAGGTAAACCAACAGGTCCCTTTTAGGAAAAAATATAACAGAAAATACACATACATTTCACTGGTCTCAAATCACCTATAATCACTGTTTCTTTCTAACTCATCCTAAATTTTAGATTGGAGTAAATTTTATATTGGAGTAAAATTCTCCTAGTATAAGTACATAGTCTATGGGCTTCCTATCAAAATTAATTTATTCAATCAACAGAAATATATGAGTGCCTAATATGAGACAGGCACTATGCAGGGAGGCAATGAATTTTAAATCCAAACAGTCTCTATCCTTGTGAAACTGAGAATCTACTGGATGTTCTTAAAAAAAAAACAAAAAACCCTGCAGGATACTTTTTAGTTTGATGCCATCTCATTTGTCTATTTTTGCTTTTTTTGCCAGTGCTTGTGAGGTCATAACCAAAACCATTGCCAATATCATTGTCAAATAGCATTTCCCCCATGTTTTTTTCCTAGAAATTTTATGGTTTCAGTTCTTATATTTAAGTCTTTAATACATTTTGAGTTGATTTTGTGTATTTTCTAAGGGTCCAATTTTAATATTTTGTATGCGAATATTCAGTTTTTCAAACACCGTTTATTGAAGAGATTGTCCTTTCCCCAAGGTGCCTTTGTCACAGAGTAGTTGACCATATATGTGTGGTTTTATTTCTGGGCTCTCTATTCTGTTCCATTGATCTATGTGTTTATTTAAATTTCTTTAAATGACCATTGGGCTGGAAAAGGGAATGTGGAGTGACTACTAGTGGGCACAGGGTTTCTCTATACGGTGATGATAATATTCTAAAATTAGAATAGAACGATAGCTGTGCAATTCTGTAAATATAATAAAAATATTGAATTCTATACTTTAAATGGGTGAACCCTATGCTATGTAAACTATATCTCAATAAAGTTGTTTAAAAAAAAAAAACCCTGCAGTTTTCAATAGCTGTTTGATGTGGATATATTGTTTAAGAAATCATTTCTGTGACCTCCTTCTTTGAAAGCCCCTTAATACAGGAGGGAACGATACACGCCTATCATTCATTCATTCACTCAAGAAATATTAATATTTGGTGCCTACTCTGTGTGGGGCATTGTGATGGCTGGTGAGATTTCATTAGTGAGCAAGATAGATTTAAGCCCTGACCTTATGAGGCAAAAAGTCTTGTAACACAGAGACAAAAACAACTAAATTAAAAATTAAATAATTACAAATTATGAAATAAGCTCACGAAGGAAATCACTGTGATGATGAAGTGGAGAATAAAAGAGAAGACTTATTTTAGCAAAGTTGGTCAGGGAAGGATGAGACCTGACATTTAATCTGAAACCTGAAGAGTAGGAGGAGGCCAGGCAGCCAAGTGAAGAAGGGAAGGGTATTTTAGGCATAGTAAATAGTTTCAGTAAGGAATGGATTTGATGTGCTGGAAGAAGTGAAAGAAGGCAATCAGTAACACTGCTTCAGAGTGAACGAGGATTAGGGTTTATCCACCTTTGTCTATATCATTCCTCCTTCAAGCAGCATAGAAAGCAAAGGGAATATCATAGAACAAACTTTACAATAAGAGCATAATCCCGTTCCCGACCCTTAAATTATAAGGAAGTTTATTTGCTACTTTTATTCAAAGATGTAAGAAATTGTTTTTCCAATGTCTACCAAGCAAAGACTTTGCTTAGATAGATTCTCCTGTAATTATATATATTAGCATATAGAAATCACTGACTCATGAAAATATGGCTTGCTGTGTTGTAGCTAACTGAAGTTAATGCATGGAGCATGTATTAGGTAGCTAATAAAAATTGACACATACTGTAAATACAAAAGACACCATATTTTAAAGAATTATTACATAAAGAATGCAAAATATCTAGTTAATGCTTATTTACATAGGTTACATATTAAAATGATAGTGCTTTGGATACATTGCTTTAAATGAAATACTACTAAAATAAATATCATCTTTTTCTTTTTACCTTTTTTAACGTGGCTACTAGAATATTTATAGTTACAATACATGTGTGTCTTGCATTTGTAAATTGCATATTTCTGTTGGACAGCACTGATCTACACTCTTAAACACTATGCTAATGTTATTATATCCAGTTGGAGATGACCTAATAATTCATTTTTGTGGTTTTTAAGAGACTGAAATTTTCTTTCTGAGGCAATCAATGATTAATCCTCATGCTCATGGAATTCGCTGGTCTTGTTAATACTATGTTATCTACCATCCTGAGACAGTTGGTTTGATAGAATGGTGGAATGGCCTTTTGAAGATTTAGTTACAATGCCAGCTAGGTGGCAATATCTTGCAGGACTGGTGAAAGGTTTTCCCAGAAGGCTATAAATGCTCTGAATCAGCATCTAATATACGGTACGGTTTCTCCTATAGCCAGTATTCTTGGGTCCAGGAATCAAGGGGTGGAAATGGCAGTAGTGTCACTTAGTATCACTCACTATTACCCCTAGTGACCCACTAGATTTTTTTTTTCCTGTTCTGGTGATGTTATTTTCTGTTGGAGTTGAGGTCGTAGGTCCTGAGGAAGGAATACTTCCACCAGGAGACACAACAATTCTCACTAAACTGGAAGTTAAGACTGCCATCCAGCCACTTTGAGTTCCTTATGTCCCCTCAATCAACAGGCAAAGAAGGAAGTTACTGTGTTGGCTAGGTTGATTAATTCTGACAACCATGGGAAAACTGGACTACTACTTCACAATGGAGGTAAGGAAGAGTATGTCTAGAATACAGAAGATCCCTTGGGGTGTCTCAATATCCCCATGCTTTGTGATCAAGGTCAACAGAAAATTACAACAACCCAATTCAAGCACCTGGCTAATTTTTTAAAAAAATTTTTATAGAGATGGGGTGGAAGGTGCTCTTGCTATGTTGCCCAGGCTGGTCTCGAACTCCTGCGCAAGCAACCCTCCAGCCTCCGCCTCCCAAAGTGCTGGGATCACAGACATGAGCCACCACACCTGGCCATTTTTTTTTTTTTTTTCAGACTTCAAGGTAAAGGAGAAACCTTTTATCAGCACAGACATTCCTTGTTAAATTGACAGGGTGAAGCTGTGTTTTTTTTTTAAAAACAGGAAAAGCTGGTTTCTCCTAAACTATTTTCACTGCAGTAGTACAGGTTGGTAGGTCAGCAGCAAGTCATGAGTACTCGGTTTGCTTTAAGTCACACAATTAGGAGGCAGTCTGTAAAACCAGTACAGCTCTTCCAACTACTAGACTTGTTCATTCACACAATCAGCTAAGGTGCACCAAAAATAAAACTTCTATTAAAAAAAATCATGCCAAGGACAAGGCCAGAGACATTGCAAAGCTCAACAGATGCAGGGGCCCTAAAAGAAAGGGCTGCCACACCATACAAAGAGAGAATCTTAATGAAGATTCTCGGGAGGCAAGAGGTAGAAAACAAAAGGAAGAGTCAGATAGGAGGAAAACCAGGGATGAGCAAAGAAAATTAAGAAAAAGGAAAGTCTCAAGGAGAAAGACATCTGTGTAATGTGGGAAGGGGCAGGGTTAGGAAGGATAAACACTGAGACAAATTCATAGGACTTGGCAATTACAAGGTTGATGGTGACCTCTAAGAATAATTTCAGTAGCTTTTGTGTGTTTGGACATGTTTGCCAAAGAGTTAAGAGTATATAGGTGAAGAGAAAATGAAAAATAACTTGTATATGACTAGTCTTTTAAGAAGCTTGGCAGCAAAAATGAGGAAGCATGATAACTGCTTGAGGCTATATTTGCAAAATTATTTTATTCAGAACCTAATTTTTGCTGTCAGCCAAAAAAAAGACAGTTCATCTACAATATAAACTTACCCTCTGAGCAGAGGAAACTTCAAACAAAACCTACTCTTTTGCTCTGTTTCATAAAATTATTTTTTTTAACAGCCTAGTATTATGCCATAAGCTATCGTGATTGGTTGGGAACCAACACATCTGTGACAGAACATGCTGGCAGGTTTAATCCGCCAAGGACTATCTCCCAGCCAGCTCCCTATGCCTAGATAGCTTTCCTGCACTGGGAATGCTCCATGAGTCACAGAATTCACAGATGAGAGGCATGTATTGGGCAAAGGTGCCGTATCACCTTCTCTTCCTTCTTAGCAGAAGCACTTTTTTTTTTTAATTTCTATTTCAGCATATTATGGGGGTACAGATGTTTAGGTTACGTATGTTGCCCTTACCCCCCGCCCCCAAGTCCGAGTTTCACTCCGCCCTGACCGCCCCGGATCCCGTCTGCCCTCAGAAGCACTTTTTAAAAGGACAGATTATGGTGCTGTGACTTGTTCCCTTTTTTTTCCATGAAACCCTCAAGTACCATACATGCAAGTGAGAACCAAGGACAAACATGTATTTTCAATTTTAAAGTGCTCAAAGGCAAATTATGTGTATGTGGAAATGGTTATCATTTATTCATATTTATTACCTATGGACCCTTAGGATAGAGATGTGGATGACTGCTGTTTTTGTTCCTATTTACTCTTCTTCATTTCAAAACAAATGTTGAAATTTATATTACCATTTTAATTCTCTATCGCTGCAAGACAAATTATCCCCCAAAGTTAGTGACTTAAAATAATACACACATATTATCTCATAGTTTCTGTGGGTCAGGAATTCGAGAGTGCATTAGAAGGGTGGTTCTGGCCCAGTGCCTTTCATGAGGTCGCAGTCCGGATTTGGCATGCACTGCTGAAGTCTTGACTGAGGCCAGAGAATCCATTTCCAAAGAGGCTGTTCGCAGGAGGTCTCACTTCCTCACCATGCAGGCCTCTCCACAACACGGCAGTTAGCTTCCCCCGATCAAGTGATCCGAGAAAGAGAGAGGGCAAGAAAGAAGCTGCAACGCCTTTATGACCTAGTCACAAACTGTCATTAATGCCATATTCTATTCATTAGAAATGTGTAACTAGGTCGACTCTGCATTCAAAGACAGTAAAATGTCCACCTTGCATCTTTTGAAGGGAGGAATATCAAAGAATTGGTAGATATATTTTAAAGCAATCA